CTTTCTTCCTTACTTTACTTCTTGGTCAATCTATTATATCGCAAAGCTAGTAGTCTAACTTCGCATCCTCTCTTTACGATAGTGATCTAGATAATCTTAGCTATCTTACACTATTAAACCACCTAGCAACTCTATCCGGTAGCTAATATACGATCGAAACCGTCGATCCTAACTTCCTCCGACCGAATATCCCACTAATAGTCCCCTCCTACTTAATACGCGTTAGACCCGACCGAAGGAAAGCGTTTATTCTCTACGATAAAATATTATATAACGACTAGGTAGACTAGTGGTTATAAACCGACTTTGGAAGAAAGAGCAAGATTAAGTAGGACTCGACGCGCTATTCGGAGATTTGGAGCCACTATAACTAGGTTGCTTATAGTATAGATAGCGCACCAAAGGTTATATATCAACGTTATAGCGCTATTCTCGAGTATCCTTATATAGTCAATCCAAAGGCTATAGGCAAAGTGCAATATTATGGTATATCAACAATATAGAAATATTTGAAGATAGCGGGATATCTAAGGAGTGAGCAAGAGAAGAGAGCAGAGATTACAAAATTTCTAAAGGAAGGGGTACGTTCTAATTTAGCTATTTATTCTACCTTACTAATTGATCCTAGCTACTAATAATAGGGATAAGCCGAAATACTATTCTCGTAAGAAGCCTAGGAAGAAGATATCCTATAGTTTATTACACTTAATCGGCTTCCACTTTATCTAATTGAGCCCCCGGTATTTCGGCGTCTTATTTCTCGGGCTCGCTACGCCCTATTACCTCCGATTATTCCCTCTGCCGATACAATCCGTCGCCGACTAGAGAGTATTGTCAAAGATCGGCAAGAGCGTATCCTTCGTACACTACCTATTAGTGCGAAAATATCAATTACGCTTGATTGCTAGATATCTCTATTCTTGTAGGCGTTTATAGCAATCACTGGCTACTTTGTTGATATTAATTGGGTCTATCGTAAGGTGCTACTTAGGTTCAAACCTCTCTACGGTACGTATATAGGTACAAACCTAAGCAATGTTCTTCTTGAAACTCTGATAGAGTATAACCTTAAAGCCCGAGTATTCGGGTTAATAACGGATAATGTATCTAATAATAAGACATTGTTTGATTCTCTATAATAGGGCCTATTAGATGGTGTTATTATTATTCGAATTCTATGTCTTGCTTATGTTATCTAGCTTAGTCTAAACTAGCTCCTTGATTGTATTAAGGTAGTTCTACTAAATGACTTAGCTAAGACGAGATAGATAGAGAAGCAATCAAGATTAGCCTATTTAAACGTATAGTATCGGAATCGTGAGATATCCTTTATATTAAATAAGGTCCGCTTTCTTGCAATCTATATAAACGTAAGCCTTTAGCGCCGGGAGACGTTTTACAATCTCTAGATAATAGCCGTTAAGCTAGTGCCGATCTAAGATATAAGAACTCGATGGAATTCGACATTTCTAATGCTTCGCCGGGCAAAACGTCTACGTCCTATCTTTACGCTATTTTGTGTAGAGTACAATTGCGAAAAGATATTACTCTACGAGGAGGAGTGGCGTTAAGTTAACTATCTTCTTTGTATCACTGAGCTATTCTTCGACTATACAACTTAGCTATCAAAGACTCGAGATATTACTATGTATTATATGTTCAAGATTTATAACAAACTCTTTGAGTATCTAGAGTAGTCAATAAAGTAGCTACGACGAAAGCGTGTGCTATAGAAAAAGTAGATATTTTATGCACTTAAAGCTGGTTAGTTAAAGCTTGATAAGTACTACTCTTAAACTAATAATATTCGAGGGTATATCTATGCGATTAGCACAATACTAGCGCTAGTGAATAAGTTTAAGTTCTTTCTTACGAAGGACTAGGATCAGAAATAGCGTGATACGTATCGCAAATCCTTCTAGGAAGCTCTGATTCTATACTAAGAATAGCTTTTAACCCTTAACTAGTTATCGGATAGCCCCTAAATAATAGCTCGGCTAGGATCGAAGCTTGATACGATATTAAATAGAAGCAACGTATAAGCAAGCACGGCTACTAATAAAATAACTCAATATCTTGATAGTGGTATATTTAAACAAAGCTATTCAGGATTCTTACTAACTTAGTATTAGATCCTATTTATATTGCACCTCTTATATTCTAGCGAGAGAACCAAGCTCGCTTCCTAGCAATTGCCGCCCTTGCGCGTGATATCCTCTTATTCCCTACAATAGGTGCAGGCGTTAAGCGGCTCTTTAATACTGCTCGGGATATCTATCATTACCGCCGAGGGAGGATAAAGTCTTCTACGATCGAAGATTTAATGATATTTCTTTGTACTTCAAGATTTGATATCGAAGAAGAAGAGGCGAGGCTTCTTAAGAAGTTCTTCTCTTATAATAAGATAGAAGCGGCAAAGGAAGAGAAGGATAAGAAGCTTGACGAGATTGAGATCGAGCCAATCAGTGACACTAAGGAACAGGAGACTACAATTGATAAAGAGATAGAGGTAGATAAGGTTTTATCAGCTACGTTTAAAGAACAGACTAGACGTGAATCCCAGGCGCAGTTACCAGGGAACAACACCTAAGTGCGCGCGTCAGGACGGAAGCGAAAGAGTCGAGAAGATAATATTTTTGAGTACCATTAGTTAGCAGTATAGGCAATTGATATAAACTATATATTTCATCCAATATTTACTACTTTATTTCAAAATTAAAATATTAGTTCTGATTCAGCTATAATAGAAATACCTAATATTATAGCCAAAAATTGCATAATTTATATAGTCACGGGCCTAAGCGTGTTTGCAATGTTTATAACCCAAGTTGGGGCCCCAGACCCAGTACTGGGTCAGACATTATAACCCGGACCCAGTGCTAGGTCGAAGACTCTGACCCAAAACCCAACCCAGCCCGGGTTGGGTCCGGGTTGGGTCCGGGTTAGGTTGGGTCATGCGGAAGTCTACTTGGTATTGTACCGCGGACGCTTTATGCGCTTCGCTTCAATGGCCGGGGTCGTTGGGTTAGAGTTAACCGGGCGACTGGGGGTGTTCGGAACTCCGGAAGCTTGAACTGGGGGAGTCACACCGCGGCGCGTGCGAAAAGACATCGAGGGCGATCCACTGGCAGCGGCGTTCGTCGGAACCGGGGCCGAAGCCCGGGCCCGCTCGCGGCCACCACCAGAAGACGCCTGCCTATTCTCCTGACGCTCACGGTGAGACAAGTTTGAAAAAGCCCCAGATCGGCGAGTACCCGGAGGAGAGGGGGTATAAGGATTCCCGGGCTGGGCCTGCTGAACAGGGCCACATAAGTGCTAGCGCATCCACCCATCCATGGACCCTACTCGTCATTGGAGTATCCACTGCCCTTAGTCAGCCTGACTTAATTACAGAATGGGCTAACCTGGCTGATCAGCCGCTTGAGTAATCCATAACTCTTCGTTGCTACAATAATGCTGTCTACACAGGCTATATTAGTATAGCCTAGTATGCTGCAACAGCCAATGAGGTCAAGCGGAATCAATATAATGTGGATTGAAATGATTGATTGATTAAAGATGCTCCGGGGACTGCTGTTGAAGGTCATCCCCTTGCCCTTACCGGGCTTGGCAATCTGTATGGAACGGTCTGTCCGTACGGACTGATACTCAGGCGGTTGCCATGCTCGGGTCCATGGGTAAGCAGTATTACATACAAAAACATAGGAAAAATGATGTCCAATGAGACCACGAGTCTCTATTAGGCGATCCTGATTGATCAGAATGGGCCTCTAAACAAGGCTTCTTCAGATACCCACCAACCACCGAACTGAATCCCATGCCTTAGAGTATCAATTTTCTCACAATCAAAGTTCACGATCTTGAGCATTCCTGGGTTTCCAGTACCGGAGCCACCATTTAGCTACTATGTATTCATAGACTACAGTGAAAATACAGTGCAGTTATGGCAGTGTCGTTTGGACACAAAGAATTTTTGCCGATTTCCGCACTTGTGGCCAAAGATGCCAGTTGATGCCCAAAAAAGTAAGCCCCGAGCCCCACCTGTTCAGTGGCTAGCTGAGATCAAATATATACACACCGCTCCATCACTCCATTTCGCTTTGTGGGGCCTGGTTCCATTTTCTCCACCTCAGCGGAAGATACTTAAGTGGTCAATGTTCAGGTACCCCACTACGACAGGTCATAGCAGCCAAATAGCCATACTTCTTTCTGTCTATACTGCTATCTCTCTCTCTTTTGCTCTCTGGTGGCAAATGTTCAGTTGAGCAGCTCAGCTTAACCCCTCCTAAGGCCCGTTTGTCCCTAGGAACTAACGTGAGGGGCCCTGGGAATGGCAGTTAACGGTCTTAGGAACTTCAACTATTGCTCCTAGGAGAGCATATGCTGCCGCAAAGACCGCATGATGCTGAGTGGGTCCATAGCGCTCCCTGCAGAATTAATTTACGTGTCCTTGGCGATTGCAGGAAGCAGGTTGGTGGTGAAGGCGGTGTTTGGTTCAATGGTGTGTCCGGCCCGGAGCTACATTAAGTTAACTAACTTAACAGAGTCCTAGCTTACTCTGAATCCGGACTCTAACATACTAATTGGTTATCTGGCAGAATAATTTCCTTTTCGGTCTCAACGGTATACAGTACAGTAGTATGTCCAACCTCTCCGGACACCGGACGAACAGCTTATGTGATCTATGATTGAAATTGTGGGAACGTTGCTAATTATCTGATGCCTCATGATCTTCGACCATCACAGCAGCGGTCAGATCTTTTCTTGCAGATATGATGTCAGATATGCAGATGTACCCTGCAGTCTACAGAACAGTTGAAAGATAATAGTGCCCCGCAGCTGAAAAAGAATCAAGGCTGATCACTACTCCGCTAAATGATATATTAAGGTGATAAAACCCAGTCCAGTCCCTTTTTACCATCCTATCCTTGCACAACTTGACCCTAAAGAGTTTCATTTATTCATATTTACAAGTTCACACAGCAAGCATATTGCAAATCATGCCTTCTGAAATTTCTTTCACCAATAATACTGTCCAATTGGATTACAATTTTGGGGATATTATCTCTGTTTTAATTGTCAATGAAGAAGTCCCAGTCTTTCTACAAAAGGGAGAGAAGAAGGAGAACATATCACTCAAGTCGAAGGAAATTATTATCTTTCATAGAGGTGGCCAATCGAACTTCAAGCCAAGTGAAAATAGCGGGTTTGCATTTCCCGAAGGTGGCGAAGTTACCCTTAGTAAGGAGCATATGAAGTGCCTTGATACTTGAATCTGTACTGACTGTTGACCAGGTCGACTCCCCGCTGGTGGAGTTGTTGCTGTGGGTCCAGGGGGGTCTCGAGCTCAATGGCCCGTTTACGAACCACATAAGCTGCCTACGGGTCTGGGTGAAGAAAATTGGCAGGGTGGGCATTAGTTGATGGTCAGAGGGTATATCCTGTATGTACAGCAGATTGATAAAGCACCATTGGGCACGAGATTCCTAGGTACAGATAGATAGATGGATTCATTAGGGTCAATCACTTCCTTCCTGGCTGTCCTTTTCTTACTATCATCTCAGAAAGGAAATGAAGATTAATAGAGGGACAATCAAGACGGTGGAGCCCGTGGAAGAGGAGTAATGGGACAATGATAGAATATGGGATGAAGTTGAAAAATGATTACTATCTTCACAACGATGATAATTATGATGATTATGATAATGAATACTATATTGACAACGACAGTGACTTGGAAGAGCAGCAGACTAAGTGCCATTTTCTTTTGTTGTTTTTTCAAATGATAACAAACAAACTTGGTGGATCAAACTTGCAGCACAGGCCTAACGCTGAAAGGTTATTCAATCCCATATCAGAGAAACAGCAAACACATCTCCGAACGCCGACGCAATTTATACTACACACCCTCAAGAATGGGTATCACTTTCTTCACAGTTTCAGCCCAGCCACGAATATTTTCTACAAATGTGCAAGCGATTCCCGGCATGATCCCTCTGCCGACAAAGAATTCTGGATTCTTTATATATGTGTCCAAGATCGAAGCCATCCGACAGCGTCACATTACATATTTGCCGAAATGCAGCTTTGAGTGTATTATTCGATAGAGTTGATATAAGCCACTTACTGTACTCTTTGACAGCTATGTTTGTGAAACCGGTAATTTTGAATGGAGATGAGTTGGTCAAACCCTTTTTGGTCAGCAGTGGTACTGGAAGCTGTTGCATCCAATACAACGGAGTGAGATGGCAGAACATTGATGCTGATAGGTGGATATAGTGTACCGCCGAGAATATTTCCATTTTTGCGTGTGTCTTTCTTCTGTCGCTGCTGTTCTTTTATATGAAGCTCGTCCTTTATTTCATCAGAAGTATCTTTGTGTATTTTGAGAATACTATCTTTCTCGATATAGGTTACTAATCGCTTGAGGGTTTGTGTGCGAAGTTGATAATACTTTTTTCTACTGGATCAAGCCAGCAGTAAGACCGCAGATAGTATACAGCCAAACCACATTTTATCAAGGCATATGTGGTGCCAGATAGTTTGTTGTCTATGTGCAATCTTCTTCAGTGTCTAGCTGAGCGTCTCGATCATCGAGCATACTGTTGGTCAAAGATAATTTATCTCATTCCTTCCCTTGTCGACCCGCGGACAGAGAAATGCTGTCTTCAATATATTTAAAACACACTCTCAGCATGAGTCTTTTACCACATGAAAATTTACAGAGCCATATCCAAAATTGTTTCTCAATTGGTGCCCAGATGATATCGGTATTGTTGAAATGCTTTGCCAAATCGTGCTGGGATCGGTCATTCACCGAAGCTAAAATCGCTGTGTTATCCATTCTGAATTTTTTTTGTGTGATACTTTTTCTCGAATCTTTTATAGTTTCTCTTCTACCACCAAATTCCAGAATGTGTTCGGGGTCAATACTATTCCTTTCCTCGGTGTTCTGCGAGTTTGACTATTGGTATGGGCGTCACCTGAGTGGCTTGCAAAGCGGTACGCAGTTTACCGTTTTGCCGGGTCCATGGGGAGAAAAAGAATGAGCGTCGAGCCCAAGACCAAGCCTATCCCATGGGGGTAATTTAATCTAACCTGCATATGAATGCAATCACATGCCACACTCAGCGACCAAAATATGCCAAAAAAGACAATACGATGCATAGAGCATTGCGTGAGCTTCACGGTGATATCTTTGGCTTCTCTCTAAGTCCAATACTCGCGGAGTTATTCACGTTTGAAGTTCAATGGGTATGGGTGGGCCCTTCCTTCCCGATCCGTCCAAACCGTCACTTAAGGTTTGTCAGCCCATGGAGGGATAACTTACCGCTAACAAGTGGTCACATTGAAGATCACATTTCCCATGTCTTTTGTCTACACAGGCTATATTCGTATAGCCTAGTATGCTGCGACGGCCAATGAGGTCAAGCGGAATCAATATAATGTGGATTGAAATGATTGATTGATTGAGGAAACTCCGGAGACTGCTGTTGAGAGTAGTCCCCTTGCCCTTACGGGTGGGCTTGGCGGTCCGTACGGGATTGTCAGTCCGTACAACCGATACTCGGCGGTTACCACGCTCGAGTCCATGAGTAAGCAGAATTACATACAAAGACATAGGAAATGTGATCTTCAATGTGACCACTTGTTAGCGGTAAGTTATCCCTCCATGGGCTGACATATCTTTTAGTAACTGTTTTTGTTGGATTCCCTGTACTGATGGTATTGTCCTGATACGCACTACTCATGCATTAGGGTTAGACCTGTCTCTATAGTACTGGGTCGTGACCCCCAGAACTCCATAACAATACAACAACTATACACATGCTACAATAGTTTTCGGACAGAGCGTGGGGGTTAGTGACATTGGTCTGCAGCTAATGGCCTTTGGCGGTGACCAAGATGTTCCATTTCAGCAAGCAGTGTAAGTGCGTCGAGGCCTGAATCTAATTAATGCTGATCTGCGGCCTTAGAATGATGTCTGGCGCTCCAGGGCAGAACTTCAACAGCCAACCAGAGTGCGAGTAACACGACTGCTATCGCGCAGCAAGTAGGGTGCAGCGGTGGCAAAGATTTACGGACGCTGAAATGTCTTCAAGGTTTTCCTATTGAATAACCAACCAAAATGTTCGTTACTGCATCTCGGGCAGCCCGTCCGCTTTTTGGCGAGGCGTATTTGCACCCAACGATCGACGATGATGTCTTTCAAGATAGACCCTCGGATATGACGCAGACAGGGAATTTCGACAAAGGAATACCCTTGATAGCATCCTGGGTCACAAATGATGAAGCTTGGTACGTGCTGCTGTCCATTGTAGCGGACGACGAATTTCTAGCGAATTTCGGACTATGGCTACACAAACTTTCCGAGTCTACGAAAGAGAAGCTCTTTGCCTCGTGCACCGACCCCAAGCGCAAGCGCTTTGTGCTCTCGCCGACTATCTCACAGCCAGTAGCCGCCCACCTTCGCCAGGGGCTCCTGAAACACATCAACCCGCTGCACTTAGGCGCTGTGTACATTATCTGCCGGCCAGGTCGGAACCTAATTGCCTTCCACGCCCTCAATTCGAGCCCTGGCTGTTTAAAGATGATGTACGCTCTTCTTTCGCCATGAACTGTATATACAATCTCGAGATTATTCTTCTTGCAGACTGGACCTATTCCCATAGACCAGCAGATATGCAACAAACTCCGCGGTCTGTTTCCAAATTACAGATCCCGCGAAATGCCAGCATACAGTCAACCAGGACCCTCTCCCAGCAGCTCTGACACTCGCAGTTTACATGGTGATGAGTTTTATGCACTAAACACATACCAAACGCATGCACAGTCTTGCCCGTACTGTGGCGCGCCCTTGGACTCCTCCATCATCTGCGACGAGGGCCTTCCTTTGGCTCGCCGCCTCACCGAGTATATCTCCCAGCGACGTAACAGCTTTTTCGCTTTGCGCAGTCATGACGACGACAGGACTGACCGAGTCCGCATCCCCGTCCAAGCCTACGCCATACGGGCCCTTCTGGCGGCAGTCGAGCAAGGTCTTTGCATCTCCACCGCCACGCGCAGCAGCCCCAACACAGGGAATGACGGTCCACATGCACCTGTCGGCATAGAAGAGCGCCAATCGCGTGACTTTCTTCAATCTCCACACATTCTTATCTGCAAATGCTCTCGCTGGAAAAGATGTTGCTACGTGCGGTGCTCCTCACGTCCGCTGTCGTGTCTTCCGAATACTTTGGGCGCGACTCTTGGGGTAGGATGCAGCGCCCGCAGATCAAAAGTTCGGTTTGATATTCAATGGGTCTCGTGAAATGCACATATAGATTCATGCCTTGCACGGAGCTTTCCATGCCCCGTGGTGCCACGGTTATGAAACTGGATTATATAAATAGAAGCAGCCTCCCGATCTTCTTTCTCAACCCCAATATCGCTATAGGTGCAGAAGGGGGTTTTACAGCTGACTCAACCGAGTCAGCCAGTATGTCACCGCGTGGGTGTCGCTTTGCTCAGTTGGAAGGGTCAGGGGTGTGACTTTCAACCCGCTACGGCCAGAAGATACCAATGGGGCATCGCCGTTACATCCCTTTATGTTTACATGGATGTCGCATTCTGCGAAACGCAGTTGCGACGTGGTTGTACATTCTACGTTCCCACATCGCTGCGTCTCACATACCAATCGTGCTGTAAAGTCCTGGACCATGTAATCTGCTTCGGGATGGCCGAAGATGAGCGCAGTGGCATTCAGATCATCTCTCTATATCACCGACAGCAGGCGCAGGTTGCCGCCAAGATTGGGACTGTATCTCGATATAGACACACAGCCAATTACATCTGAAGACCGACATCTAGATTGTGGCCAAACGGTCATTGTTTAGGGATCCGAAAGGAATATGATTATTCATGAATATTCATGAATACTTGAGAATATGAATATGAATAAGCCCTTTATTCATACTCGCAATATTTGTTGAGTATCACGGTGGTCAAAGCTTGTGTGGCGAGACAAGCGATGTACATATAAATAGACGGGTTTCCCACTTTTGATAGAAACCTCAATAAGAATATTACAACTACCTATCTCAACACATACTATCGTCGACACCCATCAACGTTCATCAACGCCCATCAACGCTCATCAACGACCACCAACGTTCATCAGCGACCATCAATGCTCACCAACGCCCGGTCAACACATCCACGACGCACCAAAATACTCACCATTTTGTCCGCTCCACGCCCTGATGGCAGATACATTCTATTGCGGCGGGAAGATTAGCCGACCGCAAACCATGAAGACAGGAGGGTTGGGAATACGGCACTCGATAACGAAGGTTGAATCTTGAATTTACCATCCTGACAATTGTCTTGCATCTATCTAGGGCTCATTGTATTTCTCCAATGAATATCCTTTCAAATACGAAATACATCATCAAGATGGTGCGCAGGTCTTGGCTTCTTCGAGTACTCTTGAATACTCGAATACTGGTCCCTAGCACCACGAAGAGGTGCCTGCACGGGCTAGAGGGGCTTGGTGTCGCAGATTTCCCTGCGAGGCGCTTTGTTGACGCAGGACCTAGGCTGCGGAGAACTTGGTAATGCCGCGGTCTCCTGCAGAGAACTTGTTAACGCAGCGGTCTCCTGCGAGGATTGTTGTTGACTCCTCTTGGCTGCGTGAGGTCACCAATAAATCTCTAGTTTAAGTGAGATGATAACGTCAATTCATCGGCTAAGTCAAATTGTCTAGCCCGAATCCCTTTCGCTGCCAGTCCCAAAGACGGGGGACTCTACTTCACCAGATGATCGATTATTCATTCTTTGACTTTTCTTAAGTCTGTTCGTTTGAATGTACTTGCTGAACTGCTTACTTGAAGAAAATAGACGAAAGCTGACCAGGAAAATTCATAGTTGGAGAGACTTTCACAATGAAACTCTTTTACGCAGATGGAAAAGGTCAATCAATAGGGAGGAGAGGAGAGGAGAGAAGGAGGAGAAGTTAGCGGGGAAGAAATGGCGCGGCGGAGCGGAAATATCCGTGCCCTAATTCAGTACAGTGTACTTTTCTCTGTTTGTCTGTCTACATTTGTATGACTCTATTCAATCTTCACTCTTGTGCATTGAACTGACTATGATTTATCTGACCTCGATGACAGCCTCATTTTGAATGTGCAATAATCATCCCATGCACGGATCCTTGACCCTCATGATCCACCTAGCAATCACAGAGCTTATCAATGCGGTACGACCATTCATCCGTGGGATAGGCCGCCTCGCGATCGGTCATCTTCACCGTGATCTTTTGTGTGTCTGTTCCGGTCAGCACTAGCACGCCTCTTTCTCTATTAATTATCGATACACTCACCCTTCGAGATCCAGTACGATCCCCAGAACCCATCATTGGCAACGACATACGGAGCAACTCCCACCTGCTGGATGTTGATGTGGTCGGTGTTATACTTGTCGTTGCCTAGCGTCAGCCGGCCATGGGTCATGCCGACCTTCTCGCCGTCGGCGTACACAGTGTACTGCTCGGTGGTAATCGAGTCGTCCGTCATGGTAAAAATGAAGTCGAAGTCGTACTTGCTGACGTCGATATCGAGCTCATCACTTCCGGGCGGAGGATACACGACTTTCTTAGTCCATGGTTCCACGCTCTTGCCGATGCACGGGGTATCCTTAGTGCATTTGCCGTAGAAGTTGATCTGTGCTCCTTTGGAGGAGGAATACTTAACGTCTTTAGCCTTGGTGCCTGGCATTTGTTAGCTACAGTACACCTGTCTGTTTCGACGCGGGCGCAGCCCACCACCCCCACCCACCAGGGCTTTACTTACCTCCAGGAATCAAGTAGCTCGTCCCTGACGCTTGAGGCTGGATCTTTGTGCCCTTGATGTAAACATCCAGGTCATCGTCAGGGGACTTGGTCAACCACACATCAAAGGGGTATTCATAGTCCGCCTTTGGGTAGTTCGGGTTAGGTAATTCGGCTTTTGTATTAGCGCCAGTCGCCGCGAGGGGCTTCTTCACGTCGTTGGTTTCCAAGGAAATCCATCTGCATGGCTCCTTGTCGCCGCAGTTCCACCACGGGTGAGGCTTCGGGTCAGGGCTGGGAGAAGGACAAGGCTGCGAATCATCGCAGCCGTTCTTGTAGATGATCTCGATGATATCGAGACCGCCATGAAGAATGGAGATATAATATTCAATGAACACGTTCAAGGTCTCCTGGCCGTAGGGAAAGCACGGCACTAGCAAGGTGCGAAGCAGGCTCTCCAGCCTGGCATCCTTGAGGTGGGCTCCGCAAGTTCTGGAGGGGACTTCTTCCAAGCACCATCAGCGCTCGAGCTCCAGGACAAAGAGACCTTTACTCACCAGGTTTCTTACTCCCCCCAGGGGCAGTACAGGATCCACTCTTGAAGACCTGTCCATCGTCGCAGCAGGCGCCTTCACCAGCAGCAGCATCAAAGCTGTAAATCGAGCCCTTGGCGCAGCAAGAGCCCTGCTTGTTGTTCTTCTCATCCACAACCCACTCCTCGCCCTTGTTGCAGCACCCATAGTTACCCGTTGTGGGATTCTTATGCCACGTCGACTGGTCCTGGCCAGTGCCGCAAATATCCGAATGTCCCGACGTCACGCAGATCCATTTTTGCTGTTTCTCTCTGTACTCGAGTGTCTGATCTGTGGCATGGTTAGTATGGTCTGGTAGTCTCACTAAATCCTAAGTACATCAACGTACCGTCGCCCTTTTGCTTGCACCACTCCTCCTGTCGCTATCGTCAGTGTACTCGAACATACAACTAATCTATGCACAAATAGTGCACTTACCATGCCAGCTGGAGGTGTGGGAGGCTTAGCCAGCGCGAAGGGAAGCAAGGCAGCGAGCGTAATAATTCCGGAAGACTTCATGATATCTGTTTTCGCTGCGATTTTTGGGACGGAATTCGTTATTGCTGTTTCTCTTGCTCCTTTGATGGAGAGAAACAGGTCTATTTATATCCCAGTCTCGGGGCACATTACATGGCTACGAGGGTCGGTACGGCATATCCGGTGCAGATTGATTAATTTATTGATTTCAAGGATAATAATTTCAGCTCAGCTGAATGCTGTCACCCTTACGTCGTCTTGGCCCGGTATATGCACGAATACAATTGTCGCAGGTAGGTGGGTAAGTAGGTACTATTGGAGAAGACTACCTGTAATGTACAGTAGTCTGGCGCGCATGCGCATTATTGATAATTCCAAATCAGTGCCCATAGCAGATCCATGCCACGGTCGGTAATCACGGAAGACAGATGAATTCAAACATACAGATCAGATACTCTATGTATGTACAAGACGACGCAGATTCCAGCCGCTCTTGCATGACAATCTCCTACTCTAAAGAGTCGTACATTACATATGGCCGCTTACACAATCCACCTTTTGCGCTTACCACAAACAGCTCACTTGGCCTACAGGAGAAAAGTTGCAGACCCATCGACTCCCGTGGGGCTGGCTGGTGCTGTGCAAGGAACTCAAAGAAGAGATTGCAGAGAGCATATGGAGAAGCTGATCAGAATGTGTCAAAGGTACCTCTGCTGCAAGGTTCTCGCGGCTCTCACAACGCCAACGATGAGCCTGTTGCTATCCATGGGAAGAAGTCTCTGCTAATTTGATACGTAGTTAGATCGAGTACGCCGTTGGAAAGTACTATAGCGTATAGGTAAGTAGGTAGGTAGGTACCTTTTGTTTCGCAGTACGATGTTGAATGTTGAAGAGTGAGTCCTAGCATGTGATTTTGCTCACCCGTGGCAAAAACTCTTTCCCTACATGGTAGATGCACTGCCTCGTGTAAAATCTCATTCCGAACTAACCCTGAGACTCCACAGGACGAACGGCCTCCACAAACCGCTTTATTAAAGCATTCAAGCTCAGAGCGGCATCCCCTTGATATCACCCAGCAGCGTGCGTGCATATCCATCATCCATAGACTATCCGGTGTCCAATTACCAGGTCGGCGGTCTTCTAAGTACTTTCTTCCGAAGGCTAGAAATCTCAAATCGCATTCCTCTTGTGGGGCGAAAGCTGAGTCGACAGTCGAGCTATGAGCTGTCCCCGCAGTACGTAGTATTGTTATTAATGGTTTGTTGGGATAGAGAGGGGAGTACTGGAATAGGGAAGAGGACTCTTCGGACTCGGCCGGCGTGCATATGATCGCGATAGCGGTGGTTGAATTCGCATGGACCCGACCCACTGTTGTTTTCAGCTCGAACATCCGTGGATCGGAGATCTAGTAGCCGATTGGACATCTTGTGTACGTACTATTATTATGAGTATGTGATAACTCTTTTCGGTAGAAGCAGTCACGCTCGAGTGTTCACGGGGAAAAATTAAGACGATCTATTACCGACATAGTGATTTGAATAAAAGATGATAAAACTGCTGCGTCTCAGTAGTTAGCCGCAGGAGCTAAGGACAGGCAGGATAGGTCCAGCGCCAGGTGTTCAAAGGCATGCATTACTTACTGGGCCGTGGAATCCCTGATCGGTTAGTGGGCAACGATGTACTGGATTTACATCGGACGCTGCGGTCGATCCATCGGGATCTGTGACTGGGGACCAGTACTGAGCCATGCTTTTTCCCTCCCGTCCCCTCCACAATCCTTAAGCATCGTACGTGATACAGGACATATCCAATCATCATCGTGTAGACAAGGAAGTTAGGACATGGGATTTAGATTTTAACAGGATTCTATCGGCCCACAGCCACCCCCTCACTATACTAGAAGCATGGAGCAAAATCTGGTGGCTAGCTGAATAGTGCACACATGTGTAGTAGGGATGCCCGTTGACCATTCTAAATGAGGGTTGAACTAACAGGAGACCCACCCACTTTCGCTTGTTGATCAGTCCAATAAATTCGATTGCCTCTAGCCTATCTACGTTAACGCATCAAAGTGGAGTATCTGCAATGTAGGATCCATAGCGGGGTAGAAAGCTCAGACATGAGAAAGTAAATACGTAACAGATTCGTTCCCGATGTTACGGACCCTGTGTCACGGACCCTGGGACATGGGGGGCCGCAACCTACAAATTGGCCACCGAGAGCCAACCATTCCCACTATTTTAGTCCATGGCTGATGACGTTGTCGATTGTGGAGAGCTGAAAATATTATGAAATTACTATGCTACATAATTCTGTCAAGCGAAATTCCCAGAAAGAGAAGGATCGCACTATCAACCAGAGTCAAAAAAGGGGGAACCCATACTCTTTGCATTACCAGAAAAAGACACCAAGCCGAAATAAAAAAGTCCATCACGCTCTTGCCATTACCTTACAGTCCACCGAGCCTGGCTGAATCCAGACCAGCCTGATTTCGACCATGATGTTGATGGGCTTTGATCAGGTCTCACTGTCGTTGAGCGCACGCGGGGGTCAATGACTTTTGGGTAGCTCTGCTAAATATCATCCCAAGTCTTAAGAGGAGACCAACGCCCAAATCCACTGTGCCAACTAGCTAGCCTATCAGGAAGACAAAACTTAGGCTGGCCGGCCTGTCTCTCCGCCACAGCCGTCGAATGAGCTGATCTACTGTACTGCCCCTGTGTGTACCCTTAAGGCATAAGTGCGAATATCCACATCGTAGGTAAGTGAATCTTGGCCTGACCTTCTGTGATTCTACTGATTCTGAAGACGATGCGATTCCAATAGAACCGACATTCGGAGACACAAAACAACAAGCGCCCGGAGAAGAACTTCGATCCATTCGGTATTCTCCGGGTGTCTTTCTAACGGTGTTAGTCTTATAGGTCCATTAATATAACCATAGGCCGTAGTTGTAGGAAGCAGTTTGGGATGCTTGATGTGCAGCTTGCGACAGGCGTCGGCAATAGAACAGAGGAGCTTCGTGCGCAGCTCCACATCGTCCGAGTTGAAATTAACAGAGTGGCTTGGATGTATGGCATAAACCCATTCGGCGCATTTCCCGAATTCTCCTGAGCTTTAGGCTCCTTTACTATTGTAAGCTCGTGTGTCCATCCGTACCTACAATATCGGGGGCGCCACTTACTAGACTTCCGCAGAACCCAGCTCAACCCGGGCCCAACCCGGGCCCAACCCGGGCTGGGTTGGGTTCTGGGCCGGGTTCTCCAACCCAGTACTGGGCCCGGGTCGGGATTTCTGGCCCAGTGCTGGGCCCGGGCCCCCAGCTGGGTTCATAAACAATGCAAACATGTCAAGACTCGTGACTACATAACTTGTGCAGTTTTTGGCTGTATTTTTGGGTATTTGACTTGTAAGCAAGGCCTCTTTCTATAATCACTGTTTAATTTAATTGTACGTTTAATAGATTCCTAAGGCTATAGGGCTACAATTCTGACGGCCGTCAGAAAATAGGGTCATTAAGCTATATTGCTAGTTTTTTTGACGGCTATCAGAATATAGGGTTATTTCGAGGCTTTTTTGAAGATATGTGAATTAGAGAGCTTCAATCGATTAATCAACTAATAGTACTCGAATATATTATTATCGCAATTCTTTCGCTTCCGTCCTAACGCACGTACTTAGGTGTTATTCACTGGCAATAGTACCTAGGGTTTACGTATAGTCGGCCCTTTAAATATAGTTAATAAAGCTTTATCTAGCTCTGTCTCCTTATCAATTGAAGTCTCCTATTCCTCGGTATCACTAATTAGCTCGATCTCAATGTCGTCGAGGTTATCATCCTTCTCTTCCTTTGCTGCTTCTAGCTTATTATGAGAGAAGAACTTCTCAAGAAGTCTTGCCTCTTGTTCTTCTATGTTAAACCTTAAGGTGCAAAAAAACATTATTAAATCCTCGATTGTATAAGACTTTATTCTTCCTCGACGGTAATAGTAGATATCCCGAGTAGTATTAAATAGCCGTTTAACGCCTACCCCGGTTATAGGGAAAGAGAGGATATCACGCGCAAGAGCAGCAATTACTGGGAATCGCGCTTAGTTCTCTCGCTAGAACGTAAGAGGAGCAATTTGAATAGGATCTAATCCGAAGTTAGTTAGAATTCTGAAAGGCTTAGCTTAAACGTACCACTATCAAGATAATAAGTCATTTTATTAGTAGCTATACTTCCCTAGGCATTGCTCCTATCTAGTATCGTATCAAGCTTCGATCCTAGCCGAGCTATCATTTGAGAGCTATCTAGTGACTGATCAAGGGCTAAAAGCTGTTCTTGATATAGAATCAGAGCTTCCTAGAAGGATGAGCGGTACGTGTCACGCTATTTCTGATCCTAGTTATTGGTAAGAAAGAACTTAAACTTATTCACGGGCGCTAGTATTATGCTGATTGCATAGATATATCCTCGAATATTATCGGTTTAGGAGTAGTACTTATCAAGCTTTAACCGACTAGCTTTAAGTGCGTGAAATATCTATTTCTTCTATAGTATACGCTTACGTCGTAGCTGCTTTATTGAACACTTAAGATGCTCAAAGAGTTTATTGTAGATCTTGAAGACGTAATACGCAGTAATATCTCGAGTCTTCGATAGCTGAGTTGTGTAGGCGAAAAATAGCTTAGTGATACAAAGAAGATAGTTAACTTAACGCCACTCGTCCTTATAGAGTAGTATCTCTTCGCAATCATACTCTGCACAAAATAGCGCAAAGATCGGACGTAGACGCTTTGCCCGACGTAGCATTAGAAAGGTTGAATTCCACCGAGTCCTTATATCTTAGATCGGTACTAGCTTCACGGTGCTTGTCTAGAGATTGTAAAATATCTCCCGGCGCTAAGGGCTTGCGTTTACATAGATAGCAAGATAGCGGACCTTGTTCAATATAAAGGATATCTCACGATTCTAATGCTGCGTATTTAAATAAGCTAATCTTGATTGCTTCTCTGTCTATTTTGTCTTAGTTGAGTTATTTAGTGGAACTATTTTAATG